GTCTCTAGTGCGCATGCGCGCGCCCTCCTCCCGTCAGTTGCCGGGAAGGAATGTGCGGCGTCACCTGACGGCGCCGGCGGTGCCTGCTAGATCCTGCCCGCGAGGGCGCACCTCGCACACTGACTCAGCGCCTGAAGGAGCGCAGGCGCCGCCCCGCCGCCAGTCCCTGCACGCAAGTAGCGGCGGCCAGCCAGTGGCGCACCCCCCCCCCCGCGCTTCCGCTCCCCAAGGAACAGCCTGAGTTTCCCGGGACAGCGCCGGCCCCCGCGGGCCGCCCTTTTGGGCAGAGAAGCGGGTGTAGGGTCCCCTCTCCGCGGAGGGGGGCAGCTCGCAGGATCCCTGCCTGGGACTCATCGCGTCCCACAGTAGAGACAAACTTGACAGGGTACTTGAAAAATTGATGCAGGTGATTAAGTGTGCAACTGTGTTGTAGATTATTACCGTGCTGCCTATTCTTAGTATACCCAATTTGATTTTGAACAAGGTTATCTTTCTGGTTAGTGTTATCCACTGAAGTATTCCTCCATGTATGATAGAGATAGGTTGAAATAAAATACTTACATGATATAATAATATTACTTGTACTACTTAACTCCCCAATAGGCCAATTGCTGCTATACCAGGTGAATTACTGTAACAGATGCCATGTCATTAAGTACCAGCTGTATCAACTTGGAGTTAAATACTAAATTAGCTGCCACAAAGTCCTAAAGTAGTAAGGATGGAGTCAGTTTTCTTCCTTAGCATTTAAAACGTTAATGAAACATTTTGCTAGCTTCAGATTATGTTGGCAGGAATCAGGCAATTAGAGAGAAAGGGTGACATGAAAAAAATGCTTTCATGATGCAGGAAAAAAAAGATGTTTTAAGCGTGAAAATAGCTGAAAGACAGAAATACTACCAGTTTTTCTAAAATTTGTAACCTCAGAAGAGATGGAAGCTACAGCAAGTAGTTTTTAAAATGCTGATAAGCCATTCCCTGCAGTGCAATTTTTACTGATGGACAGTCCCATTCTTTTTTCTCCTACTGATTCTACTACTTCTGTTTTCAGTATCATGACTTTGGAGCATGTAGAAAAAAAAAAGAGGCAGTAACTAAGCTGTGTATCCCGCATATGGAAATAAACTAGGCATTGCTTTATCTGGGTGAAATTTGTCTTTCTGCTAATAAATTGAAAATCTGGGGATGAAAAGAAGGCTATGTAATAGGTACATGGTTCCCCGTCAATAGCCTGTATAATTTGGAGACCCCAAATGTCTAAAGTTATCATTAAACAGTATACAGCAGCTAGTGATAACAATCCCAAATCTTTAAGAATATTGAAGTCACTGACCTGTCTTCCACCTCCTTCAAAGCTACCTTTTTATGTAATTGTCAATAGTTTGAGTACCCTGTTTATACAAAGTTGTTGATACGCATCACCTTACTCGGTAGTAATTTTTTCATGATGTTTGACAGTAGTTTGAAAATAGTACTGGTTTTAAAAAAAAAAAAGATGACTGATGGAGATACTAGGAAAGGAAGTGTGGGAGTTTACAATTTAGATCCCCAGATTCCAGAGTGTTGTATAATGTCTACTGCAAGAAAGAGGTCAAGACCTCTGCAATTCTTTCCCAGACATCTGATCACTTAATTAGACAGCTAAGTGCTGTGTGCACATTTATTCTCAAATAGGAAGTAAATAGGAAGCAGTTTAGACCACAAGGTTCCTTAGTTTAGGTGAACACATACACATAGGTCTAAAACTAAGAATGAAAGCACATGGTCTAAATGGCTTTGTTTCCCTTTGACCTTTCTCCCCCTCCTTTTGTATTGTAATTATATATGTATATTACAAAACACAAAAGAACCATGCTTAAAAGTGTTTTCTATAGTTATCACCTGTGCCAAAAATTATTTGTGTATGCAAGGTCTTGTGCTTGGCTCAGTAGACCAACAGATAATTGTAAGTGACCACTGAAAACATCCTGCATCTCTTTTTCCTCTAGGTTTCATATGAAGCTAATTTTTTTTTAAAAACCCTCATCAAGTTAAAATATAGCAAATCATATGAGGAACCTTCTTCTCCTGAAGAAGTTACAGAAGGAACAGATTCTACTCCAAATATACTGTGTATCAAATTATGAAAGGTTTTAATCTATTATTTGAAATGTCCCCACAAGATGGCAGTATTAGAAATAAGTTGACTATAAAAAAAACAAAATTCCAGTTTGTTCAGGATTGGCTAAACAATGCATTTCTTACTCAAAGCTTAATCAGGTATTGATTTCAGTGGGCATTTTGCTTGCAAAAACGTTTCCAGGGACAGAAGGGCTTAGCTCCATAAATTCTAACAATGGAATTATTATTTTAAAATATATAGTAATCATTATCTAAATTGTAACAGTGACTTTTTTTTTTTAACAAAGATTAATGCAGATATATACAAGAACAGAGTTGGAAGGTCTCTCTTTGAGGGCCATCAAATTTAATCTCCTCTTCAAAACTCCATCTCAGAAGCAGTTAGTTTTTTGCTGTATTACTTACTTGAACGCTGTTCAATCGAGTCATCATTAACACATGCGATACATTTAAAGCAAAAAAAATTTGCTTGTGCTATGACCAGGTTTGGAGCAACAGTTATGGCAGACCAGCTAGAACGAACAGAATGAAGATCTTGTCCGACTTCACTGTGAAATATTTTTGAGAAGATCTTCAAAGTTGAAATAATTGTATGAAGAACTTCTGGACATCAAGGCAAGAATAACCCAGAAATGTTATTTTAGCCAAATTAGTCATTAAACTTTGTCTTGCTTCTGCAGACTTAAGAAATAACTGTAACAAGATAATTTAGCATTTTATTTTAGAAGGAAAATACATGCTTACAACACTAATTGATATCCTATTTTATTTTTATGGAGTGTTCAGGGTTAAAGAGTATCATTGATTCCTGTGGCCTTATAAGATTGTTTTCAGAATAGCGCTACGTACAAACTATTGGTTCTCAACACTTGCCAGACCGCACTTCCTTTTTCGAAGGGGAACCACCAAGAACACCCTCCTACCTAGCTAAGATGCAGACAAGACTCCCTTCCTATTTAATATAGAAGAACAATGTATTAACAAAATACCAGTAATATCCTTTCAGATAAATCTGCTACTGTAAACATACATGTAGTTGCACAGTAAATTTAAGGTTAGTCACAGAACATGTCCCTGGCTCCCAAGAAGAGTCAAAAGCTGTTTGAGTTTACTAATAAAATCAGCTAATTTGTCTACCTTGGATATTGAAGGTGTTCTGCGTCATTGTTCCAATACTTCTAATAATTAAAAATTGTCTCTTATTAAAACACTCCAGTGAGCATTTTATAGTGCTCCATGCAGGGAGCTGTGCTTGTAAGTGATCTTCAGTTATAAAAGAACCTAAGGGTCTGATCTGAAGCTCACTGGCAGTAAAAATAGTCCCACTGCCTTCACTGGCTTTTAAAATATGCCTTAGTGAAACAAGTACCTAGGACCTCAAGAGCAAGAGGAGAGCATAACAGAGATTGAGATCAATAGAAAGCACTAGAAGCATTCAATTTATGTTGCGACTATTTTTAACAAGGACCTCTCAAATCTTCTAGTCTGGTTCTCCATCTGGCTTGAATGCATATGAAGATTACAAAAATAGGGAGTGTGCTCTCCAAGCTAATGAAAGAATGTAAAGGTTTTATAGACAGAGGAAAAAAATGCAAAAACTCAACGTAAGCTGTTAAACTACTAAGTTATGGAATATTTATAATTAAATGTATAAATGAATTACAGGGCTTTAGGTTGTAGCCGTGTTGGTCTAAAGACATAGGCAGACAAGGTTCCTTGGGTGAATTTGATATCTTTTATTAGACCAACCCAAATGGTTGGAGAATAGTTATTAAGCAAGCTTTCGGGTTCAAAAACCCTTCGTCAGGCTAAGGAAGCTTCAGCAGTTGTGTGGTGCTCTTCCTGGATGGAATGAAAAGTAAAGACTCCCCAGCCCAGCCTCTGGCTGCTTTACTTTTTATTCCATCCAGGAAGAGCACACACCAACTGCTGAAGCTTCCTTAGCCTGACGAAGGGTTTTTGAACCTGAAAGCTTGCTTAATAACTATTCTCCAACTATTTGGGTTGGTCTAATGAAAGGTATCAAATTCACTAAATGAATTACACATATACCAACATAACACACACAAGATGATGCTTATTCACTTGGATGTGTGTATTTTCCCTAAAAATGGAACAGAGAAATGGGAGAAAGAAAAGCCTTCAAGTTAACTAAGCAACCTAACAGCCACAGCAAGGGCCAAAAGTTTCTCTTTTCAGACCATAACATTAAGCAAGCTCCAGAGTTTTTGGGCTTTTTTTTTTTAGTATAGATTCTAAATAGATTGGAAAAAGAAAGTCTATAAAGTTGCAGTCATATCTCCTAATGGCATCATAAAATTTAAATTTTACACTTACTCTACATAAAATTTCAGCTTGAAGACTTCAGTACTATCCAGAGGATTCTGATAACATCCTAAACCAGGAGTGTGGAGTTTGTATGGCCTGTGTCATCACCAAAGGGCATAAGGTAGAATTATCTTAACTGCATAATTCTAAGGGAAGAGCTAAATTACTCCTCCTCCCTTTTCTTTCTTGTTCTTTTCCACCCTAACTTGTCTCTTCTTCCTTCTCAGCCATCTCCCTGCAAGCTCGCAAAGTGCACTGATGACAGTTGCTCCAATGAAGGTGAAGTCAATGGCACTATGCCCATTTTACACCAGCCTGAGGTTTATATTCTCATCTGCGATTTTACTTAATTTCTCTGTGGAGAAGTCTTTATGATCTGCCAGTGTGACAATTTAGTGCAACACTCCACATGAAGTCATATAGCAAAGTTATAATATGCTAGAATTCACCAGAAGGAACATAAGATTTTTGTGTGGCTAGGACTAGTGAACTCCAGTTTATTACATTGGGGGGGGGGGGGGGGGGGGGGGGGGGGGGGGGGGGGGGGTGTTCATTAAGAAAAAAACATTGACTAGGCCCCAAACCAAATCCTGTAAAGACTAATATGGTAACTATACATAAGTGATGTTGTTCAGAATAGTAAGTCAGTTATGTTTGAGTTGTTTATCCATTTTGTTATCCCTTTCCCAAATCCTCAAAATTGTACTGCATACATCAACGTGATCAGTAGTTAGTTACTAGAGAAAGTAATACATTTGATTGGAGCAGGGGTTGAGCAGCAGTCATTTATGAAACCACCATAATTTTGCTACCGCTAGGCCTAGTTCAAACACAGGGATAAAGCCTAACAGGTAAAATATGCAGGGCCACAATCACATTATTTAATACTACTTTTTGATTTTGATGACAAATTCGTTATGGGCTAGATTGTAATCCATTACAAAGGTGCAAATTCAAAGCCATCAGTATATACCTCAGATGCATATCAGTATCTGCCTTTACTACACTATTGTGAAATAAGCACAAAAAAAGCAGCAACATGTTTAAGACTTTCAGAACCAGCTACCCTTGCTGTAAATTCCAAAGGTATGTGTTTATGCCATTACCTGCTCCACTAAAAGTTAACTAGGCTACACAGTAATGAAGCTGAGCATGTACATAAGGATTTCCAGGATTGGGACCCAAATCCTCTAGTGAGGTAAAGCAGCAAAGCTTCCATCACTTCAAGCTGATGATCTGTTCTTACACCTTTCCCATCATTTACAATTTTAAGTTGAATTCTCCTTTTCCACCAAACAAAACAAGTATCTTGCACTGTTTTTAAGCAAGAAGGCCTTTTATACATAAAGTTTCCGATCAGTAACTCGATTAAACTCACAAGAAATCTGAATTCTAACAGCAAGCATTTCTTCGCAACAGAACATTGGTAAGACTCCTTTAAATCCAGGAAAAAAGTTGCAATTTGATTTCAACAATATCAATAAAACCATAGATGTGACAATATGGAAGGAGAGAGCAATTTAATTTGTGTTGAAATAAATATCAGACACACAAAGCACACACAGTAAAAAAGGGTCACAATAAATTACAAGTGGAGATATTTTGCTCATTCATTGAAGAAAGCCCCTGATATTTCCAATTTCATACCATCAAATTTATCATTCTTGCTGATTTAAGCAGAACACAAAACAAATATGGATCCCAGTGCTTACTTTCACAGGTACTGGCATGGATAATTTACTGCAGTGATCTAATTTGGAAATCAGTAGGGACCAGTAACTTGCTGCATAAAAGAAAGAGCGAATGAGGTCCTTTTTCCTTAGTGTCAGCAGGCTGTGATTATTATGTTTATTAGATTTTCTTGAAAGGGCTTCACATTTTCTCAAATATGCAGGAGAACTATATTTCCCCTTTGAGCCCTACATTAGCATTTGTGTGCCTCAGATCTTGAATACAGAAATGTGATGAATTTTTCAATTTATTTTAGAAGTTTATGCAGTCTAGATGGTATAGAGCTGAGCAATGAAACTCCCTTACCTGTACAATATTTGCTATTAAAAATGGAATGGCTTTTGCAGAAAAGTTATTAAGGAATGCTGACATACTCTATAAAAAGAAGCTTCTGAATCTATATTTTACTACACTGACAATGGATTTGCAAAACAGATTGTTTAGAAGTTCTGTTCCTAAAAAGGTGACACACTCAATTTTAAGTCCTTTGGAGCAGGGCCTGGTTTTTCCCCATATTTCTGGAGAGCGTCTAAACACACAGGGCATGACTGCAATCATCTTTTTTCCAAAACAGTTAAGTGTAACTGTAATTTTCTTCTTTTTATTTTACACCACAGTACCAAAAAAAAAATTCCAGATCAGCACAGCCAACTGACACCAGACAAACCAGAGTAGAGTGTGGAAAAACACCAAATTGGCAGTTAAAACCCCTGTATGTTTCTAGTAAGATCTTTGCAAACAAGACCAGCAAAATCTAGAGGACGATGCTTAAATTCACCAGCTTGAAGGTGTCCAAAAAAGCTAGACAATCTCCCTACCTTCCCTCCCTTTTGCATCAGTACTTCAGCCTAAAGAACAGCTACAGGGACTGACTTCACCAGCTCAGTACCTACTGTGGAACCACAGTTAGTCTCTTTTTCCTTTGTTCTTCCTAAGCAAAACAGGCCAGAGTTGAAGTCTTGGATTTCTTTCAGAGCACCTTGCTATCAGATTAGGTTACAGGCACACACTGGTAATATCACGCAGCATCTGCCTAAGAAAGAGAGACTTTTTGGCAATATGCTATCAAAACATAATTACTGTCACAACCGTCTACACCAGCCTTAATGTGACTGCCATAGTGTACAATCTCTTTGGAGACAGCATGAACATTTACGCCTTAAAAGAATCAAAGTTGTAATGTATGCTATAATAAAAGATGGTCCTATGATTAGACCCCCAACCCTCAGATTCTGATGATCTGGTCCCTGCTCTCCCACAGACTTCCTGTATTACCTTAGACTAATTCTCAGTTCTTTAATTTTAAACGAGTTAATAGTATTTCTTACCTAAGAGCAGTATTCTATAATAAAAACCACAAGTAAAAAATGCCATATAAATGACTAAGAGACATTTACTTACATACATGTATTATGATCATATCTCTTTAGCAGTTCCGAAATTGTTTCAGGAAAAATATTAAACAAACAAAAACAAAAAACAAAAAGAAAAACAACCACCAAGCAACCCAAAAAAACCTAACAGAAACTGAAATTAGGAGATTCAATTTAATTATTTTAAAACTAAAATTTGGTGTTCCAAATCATGCCCAGCATGAAATATTTTACTTCTAAGCATAAAAGGACAATATGCACAAAGCTGAGAGCAAAGACAGATGGATGGACATAGTTAAAAAAAAAAAAAAAAAAAAAAAAAAAAAAAGACACTTACAGATGTTCTCTAACTCATTCTACATATGGTTTTGGCCAGATGTTCTCACAAGCACTTGACACAGACTGTGAGAACAAAAAGGTCTCACCATAGTGCTTACTACAGTTAAGTGACTTTAATTGCAAAAGCCAAAACCACATAAAACATAATTGCTTTAGTTTTGCCAAGGGAGATGAAGCAGTATATTGATGGACTCGGAAGCTTCTATTCAGAAATATGTGAAATTTCTACTACGAACAATGAGCATCACTTCCAAATCAAGTAAAGTGGTTCTTCTGCTGGATTCAGCACTGGTAAGGCTTTGCCTGGATTACTGCATCCAGTTTTGGACACAACATTTCAAGGAACACATGGGCAAATTGGAAAGAGTTCAATAGATAGCAATAAGAATAATTAAAGGTCTAGGCAAGAGTTTACAATGAAAAGTTGTAAGAATTATAAATTTAGGCCAGACTAAATGAGACTGGGAGGTGGGGGATTTGAGAACAGTGGTTATACAGAGGATGACAATAGCTTATTATAGCAGCAGCAATCTTAAATTGCAAAGAAAACATAGGTTGGATATTAGGAAGAAAATTCTCACTACATAGGTAGCTAAGCATTGGAACAAACCTTTTAGACATGTTGTGATGTTCTTTAAAGTATGTAAAAGCAGATTAGACCAACACTTGTTTAGGAGAGTTTACATAGGGATGTCTTCAGCAACTATTAGAAAGCCTCCTAAAATCCCCTTCTGCCTTACTTTATGATTCTAAACCAAAGACACTTCTTCATGGATGAGTTGCAGAACTCTATTATAGAGGTCAAAGAAGTTTGTGGTTTTGGGTTGTTGGTTTTTACATTTTAGTTGATTAGAACCTACCAATCCTGATAAGAACAACCAGGATCTTTGTCAGTCAATCTCAAAGTGCTAAAAGGAAGCAAGTCTCATGCCACAACTGGCACCTACATTATTATATTTTATTACAATTCAAAAAACACAATGATGGGAAACCAGCAGATAGCAAAGGGATAGCTCTGATGAGTTTTGATATTTTCCCCACATTGTCTGCAGAACACTTGTGTGAAAAAATGAATCACACTGAAGAGATATCTAACTGGCTACTAGATGTTAGCCTATTGTTTCAAGTAAATGAAGTCAAGTTGTTGCCACCACCTCATTGTTCTGCATGTTTGATGGAACATGCACTACTCAAGTATTCCAGTGAAGAGTAAAACAAGGCCTACAGTTTTTGTTCATGCACATCTTAGCAAATACAGGATTCTTCTATGCTGGATAGACACAGCAATCCCTACCTGAAGGGATGAATGGATACAGCATTCACATCAACTCCAGACACAAAAGCCTAGAGCAGAACCTTTAACATCCCTGGATGTTGTATTAATTACTTGAGAAGAGCTGTTCTCAAAACTTTTTAACAACTTGAACATGAAATTGCAGAAGCAATCACCTGTAGACTGGGTTGTGTTAAGTATGGTCTCTCAACAGAGATTATGGATTCTTACCCCATAACCAGGGCCAGTTTTTATAGCCCCCCCCCCAACACACACACACACACACACACACACACACACACACACACTTCCTTGTTTCATTTATCCCCTTGGATGCTTTGAAGTCACCTTTGGCGCTCTCAACAGTGCCTTCCTTTCCTCCCCGCCTTACCTATCCTTTGTAGGTAAAATGGCTTTACTCTTTTCTGTTTAGTACCCTGCTCCCTACTTAAATCAGATGCTATGAATGGACTTGCAGATGGCGAATGAAAGCTCATGCCTTTCTGAAGGAGTCTGTCTATAAAAGGTGCTACCCTGCCCTGCCTTCTGCCTACCTTCAGACTAATATGGCTGACATACACCACTTTATTGTAAAACCTTCTTAAGTACTTTTCTGTTCTGGTATTGAGGGGTATGTGTGATGTCTCAAGAGCTTAGTCTGTGTTGCATTTGGATTAATTTGCATGTGCCAGTGGGGACAGGAAGAAATATGCACACACAAGACTGCTCTCTCTACTCAGCTTCAGGTCAAGTTATAGAAAATTTCAGTTATTATTAGAGAGACTATGATCTTGAAAACTACATACAGCATCAGCAAGCTACTTTTTTGACATTTGTTTTATTGCTGTAGAAATTGTAGTTTTTATAAAACCCTCACATTACAAGATATACAGATTGTGAGGTTAATTGCAAGTATCAGCAGCTGTACAATAGTACTGCATGCAGTTACTTTAGCAGTGTGCAAAGTTTCCATAAATAGCCAATTATTTTTAAGAACATTAGAATGAAAATATCCAATAGAATCACCCTACTAAGCATCTCCTTTGTCAGTACCTAAAGATTGAGCACAAAAAACAAAACAGAAATGTACAGATGCATAGCTTGACAGAGAGGCTAAATGAATCTAACAGTGAAGTCTAAATTACATCCACATCACATGGAAGGAAACTAGATAGTTACAGGGAAGTGTTCTGCCTTAAGAACAACAGGTATTCCAAAAGATTTAAATAGGAGTTCTGAACTGACCATAAAATAGTGGTAAAGGACAGTAAGGGAGTTTAGATGCCCCAAAAGAGTAGCATCTAACTTCCTTACAACTAAGAGTATATACTGTGCCCAATTCCCCTTTCAGGAAACAAGCTCAGACAGTATCCTTTTTCCACAAGCTACCATTAGATAGCAAAAAAGCTAGGTACATGCATAATCCACACCCAATTTTAATATATTTCTCTAGCCACCGAGTGTTCTGCCTCCCAATCAGCAAAGTCATATGGATTTATACTAAGTTTGCTCTACAGCAGTTTATTTCAATAAGTATTCAAACAGGTGCAATGATTTTTGTGAACTCACCATTTCAACAAAAGTCTCAGGAACTGGAAGAGGAAGAAGAAAAAGAAGTTGCATGTAGTGCTAACTGCAAATTAGTTTTCTTGGTGGGGGGAGGGGGAAAGTAGCTAAAAGTAACTCATCCTACTTTCAGGTTCTTGTGTAAATATACTTGTAGAGGTTCTGGAAAAAAAAAAGTAGTAAATCAGTGCATGATATTTACTTTAGAGACTGATAGGACTTTAAAAGCACTGCATTTTTATTTTAAAAATAAGCCTGTTGGATTACCAACCTCATTATAGTGGCAAAGCCGTATCTTGTAAAGAGACAGTGTGGACAGAACTTTACGAGCTCTCCCAGCTACAAGCTATGAAAAATATTATATCAGTTAATCACTACCATGTGTTCACTTTTTAAAAAAAAGGACAGGCTCTTCCCCAAAGACTGCAACATCACAGTTGGATTTTTAAGCCTGCCCTCACATTCTAAGCCAGCCATGTTTGATTTATATTGAGCAAGTTAAGGTGTGCTGGGAATGAAAGAATACTGTTCATAGTGTAGCGCACAAGTATATTGTGAATTGCTATTCACTGAAAACTAAGCTACTTTTTGGGTCAACTTACAGTAGCTATGGATCTGACTTGGATACTCAAAAACTATTTCCTTCCAACAGATAAAGTTGAAATAAAACACAACTGTTAGCCATATTTTGAAAGACATTGTGTGATTGGGCTATTTCACCTTAAAAATATTTTAGCCAAGATGCATACATTTTCACCAGTTAGCAATATAGCATAATTTTTAGAAATTTAAGAGTCACTTGTGAGACAATAAATTGGAGCAGAGGGAAGCTTATGCACATTTTTTTATACAACTTGGAATAGGATCAGTGTAAAACCTGGAATTTATAACCAGCAGAAGTGCCAACTGCTCATAATGTTCACAATACACACACACATTCTTCTGGAATTTAACTATGCAACTGTTGGTGCCAGTCTGCTTATAAAGGCAATGCTGCTGAGACAGAGTCTTCTTATAAAAACAGGGCATGAAGGTTTCATTATTAGATGTTCAACAACGATTCTCAGCTCTGTGAACAGAGTCCTAGAAACAATAAGATTTATTTCAGAATAACTTATTTCACAACTGTATTAAATCAGCAGTAATTAAATCTACAAACAATCTTTCTATTCTGCAGATACACAGAACATATCTATTGTTTGGTTTATATGAAGAGTAAAACAGCCTAGTTTATGGACAAACCATGACATTAAACAGCTAACCAGGGACATGGACTTATAAAACAGATGATGCATGGTAATTGCCTGCCCCCAAAATTTAGTGCTGGTGAGTGTTAAAACAGTGTACTTTTACCACCTGTTAGTTCACTCTATAATTGAAGTGTAGACAAATGATCAGAATTAGAGATGGATTAGACAAAAAGTGGAATTTGTAACCTGAAGTTCTTCAGAGTTTTAAAGTCTCTTTTGTAAGCTACTACACCATCAGTGGATGAGAAGGTAGCCTAAACAGGCACATATTCTACCTTCAGACAAAAAACAGGAACACTGTGCTATAAGACTTTTTTTTTTGGGGGGGGGGGGGGGCAGGGCAGAGAAAGGAGGAAAAGAAGAGGGAAGGAGACAAATGTGATAGAAGGCTACAGAAGAAGGAGCAAACAGAGGCCACCAAGCTTTGAGAAATAACAAGAAGCCTATGTTCTAGAATCTATCCCCAGAAAAGGAAAATTGTAAGAAAAAAAAAAATGCATCAATGCCTGCACAGCTAAAGGGGCTAACAAACAAAACGTATCATACTGAACAACTCAAGTACTTTTATGTCAAGGACTGAAATCTTCTCTTAGGTCTTTTTAAATAAGATAATCAACAGTAATAAAGCAACTGATTTCTTACAGATCACTACTCTGGGGATGCGACTCAAATTGGCTTGTAGAGGACAGGCAGCCAAACGCATCTGGGTTATCAGCTAAAAACCATTCAGAACCAAGCAGATTGAAAAAGTTGTTTCCTGAAGTTTTTCTTCATGCAACTGTCTTCAGAATAAGTTGGAGCGCCACTGACCTAGAACTTAAATTTTCACAAAGCTGCACAGGTTTGTTTTTTTTAAAAGATCAATTTGGTTAAACCAATGCAAACAGTCTTTCTTAAATTTGATGAATCTTTGCCTATAATCATCTTTGTTTACTTTACCAAGGAGCTGGCTTAGATTTGATGTAAAACCAGGCTTGAATCAAATCAAGAATGACCAGCAGGAATTTGCACCAGCCCTTACTCAATTTAAAAGACAGTGGGCAGATTAGGCTGCACAGCAGCCTAGGAATGGCAAGGGTCTAGAATGAGGGAGCAACAGAGGCTTGTTCCACAAGGTACTTGGTGATAGAAATAGAAAAGGAGTAGGGTGGAGAGCAAGATACTGGTTCACGTACAAGCCGGAAGAGTGAATTAAGATGCAATTTGAACCTAGTTCATGTTAGTGTTAAATCGAGAGAGAGAGAGAGGGGAGAGAGCAGAGAGAGCACTACAGTTAATCTTGATCTCAGATTAAGAATCAGTTGTGTGTGCATCACTTGTATGCAACAACATAACACAGTAGGAAGTTCCTATGCATTGACCATCTTAAAAAAAAAAAAAAACAAAAAACAAAAAAAACCCAACAACGCTTACCGACAATATGGATTTCTACGGGAGGAATAACGCAGCGTAAGAAATCGATAGTAAATGAAGGGCTGAAGCAGGCTTCCCTGGCCACTGTAAGAAGAAAATAAAAGTGTTCTCAAATTATTGTCAATTTACATTTCCTATTAGAAGAAGCAGAAGTTTCATCTTTTGAAAACGTGAGCAGCAAGTGGACACTGATACAGAGAATTCAGGATTCAGGAGGGTGCAGGCCTAGTTTATGGCACACCTGCTAGCTTAGCCCCCGCTGCTTTAAAGTTAGTAGCTATAGGTCATGTTCCAGCTAGCTTTGGTGCAAGCCTCATTCCCTTCATAAACATTCAATTTATGTTGTCCACAACTACAGTGAAAGAGATCCAAATAGTCTCCAGTACCCATAAACCTCACGAGATTACCACCCCTTACAGAGAAGTTGTATAAGAAAATAAGCGACAAACACAGAACTCCAAGAGATCACACTATGCTTCAGAAAGCCTCAAACAATGCAGAACAGACAGATCTTCATTTATTCAGGCAAGTTTTGTCTCGGGTACGCTAGAGTTCTTATTTGACTTAAAGTTTTTTCAGCCTGCCAAACTGATGAATTCTACTTGTTACATGCAATTCTTCAAAGGATCTCTCAAAATGTCCAATATTCCACCCCCCTCAAAACAGATCTACTCTATGAAAACTCATTCCTGAAAATAGCTGCCTGGTGTAGCCAGAAAGGTGGGGGAAAAAGGGAGAAGAGGAGAACACCACCATCCACAAAAACGCGCCACCTACACAAGAGGGATCGGGTTCCTTTTCTAAAGTTCAAAACAAAGACAATCAGGTGCTACTATAATGCAAAAAAAGTAGAGGCCACATTTAGGATAAGGATCCCATTGTGTTAAAACCCTACACAATAAAAGATTTGATTTTGCCTGAAGGATGTATGTGGTTAGAAGTCTGTACCTGCATGGATCTCTGCTTACAATCTTAACTTCCAGTTAGGAGCTTCAAGCCTACCTGTTAAGTGGACTTTGTAGTTCACTGAAGGGTCAGGACCTTAGGTCATAACTCTTCAGCAAGTTGCACTTATCTCTGCTAGCATGGTTCCTAGCATAGCAAATTCCCAATACAGAGGTAACTATATCAAGAGAGGCTTTAAGCTTCACTGTGCCAAGTTTATGCTCTTAAGCTTATATTTTACTACTCCTAGGTCACACCACCACTGGACAAACTTCATGGGCCTATTTATCCAATAAAAAAGACAAAGGCCAAGTCTGTTTCCCAATACTAATTCTACTGGTAAGATGGCATGAACAATTTGATGTCACAGAACGTACCAAACTAAATCATGGAGGGGGGCAACCACACATGCAGAACACTGAATTTGGTCTCTATAAACAAGCTTAACCCCAGGTCCAGCAACTGGCACCACGTAATCCAAGACCCCTGTACCCACATAGAACTCACTGAGGACTGGAGCCGAGAAAGAACTTGGAGTGCAGAAGTAAATGTCAGGGACGGGGATGATTACTGCAATCTTACCTGAAAAGCATAAAAACTGTGGCTGGCATCAGGAAAATTTCATTGCAAGCAATGAATTTTAGAATATTCTGCTGATTAGCATTTAGCTTGTCTAAGAGATTTCTCAGAAAGGGGAAGCTATTTGAACCTCTTGCCTTAAAGAAAAGGAAATGTATAGTTAGGAAAAGGTAAAATAAGCTCTGGTTCTTTAACTCTAGTTATATTCCAGTCTCTCTCTCAGCCTGAAGTAATTCAAATGAAGGTAGCCATTTTATTTTAAAAGTGACCACACAAATTATTTCTCCATAGAGTACTTCATATACAGTGTCCTCCCACCCTCTTTCCCATCTACAGTGGGTTTTTTTGTTTTTTAAAACCATATACATTTTAATCATTTGTGAAGAAAATAAATTTTAATATCCTTCAAGACAGGCAAGTAAAATATACTTCTATTGTTATTCTAGATGATAGAGGGGAAGGCATGAGGTTTTGGGGAAGAGATGTTTTCATTTCAGCTCCGGCTGCCTCAAAGAGGAACAAACCACCTTGTTCCATCCATCAAGATGAAAACAAAACAAGTGCATCATTAGTGTATGTCCCCATGGAAGACTGAAATGATATTTAAGAAGTGTTTAAGCATCTTCTTTTAATATAAACACAAAAAGCAAGGGGTGTAGGGCTGAAAGGCAGCCACTTCTTAATCTTAAAATGAAGCAGGAAGGTTTAAACAACAAAAAACAGTTTCTCGCAACATAAATATCATTTTAAAATATATCTGTTTAACCTCCTCTGATTATATTGTTTAAATGGTTAACCAGTAACACAACAGCTCTGACAGCTGCTGCTGGGAGCCCCTCCTAGGATTGGGGGTGGGGGTTAGATGGTGGCAGGCCAAACGGGAGAACACAG